AAATATTTGATCAGGAGCTCATTCTACATTATGAACTTTTTATTACTATTTATGTATGGCTTTCAGGTACCTAACTAGTGTGTTTTGTTAGTTAATTTGTGTTGATATTGTTCAAGTCCTCTTCATTGAAAAATAGATAGAAATATTCCTTCAATTGGAACTTTCTTTATATGAAAAATCCATAGCCCACTATTAAATTTCAATGTTTTAGTGATTTTTGAAAATTTCATGTCTATACTTCATGTATTATTTTGAAGGAAAAAAACTAAGAAATTGAATGAGCTTATAATGAGTCGTATCTACATTACTGTACTAAAAAAAAATTGAGTGCGCCACTGGATTCTGCGTAAAATTCTCTATGGGATAAGATTTTAATTTGACATTTTCGATAAGAAACTTCGTAGATATAAAGGTGGTTCAAAAAGTACAAATTTTCAAAATCGCTCTGTATCTCATATACGGAAACAGTTATGCAAAATCTGACTAGGCCATCTTGAGTTTCACAAAAAAGTGTCAGAGCACCGCGAAAACCGCAAGTTTCTATCTCCAAAGATAACTGAGATATCACACAAAAACATCGAAAACTGGACACACGGTACAATCAATATTATAAGTTGAAGTTGAAGAGAATCGAATCTATAGCGTTTTGAAATAGTTCATCATCAGCATATCAAAAAGCCAGATATGAAGGTGGAGCAGCTATCTCTTTCTGATACCTTGCCATTCTGCAGTTGTTGCAGTGTGATTGGTCAGCTCAAGGACAATAGGCGTGTTGGGACTATTACGTCACACAAATGAATTGACACCATTTCGAATGGCGCATGAAGTGTGTGATTTGAAATGAACATATTTTAATTTATTTTTTTCATTGTCCTAGTATGAATGAAAACATTCTATATCTACTGGTTGTTTATTGGTTTAGATCTCACGATGATGTTGTTTTAAAAAATCGGTGGTCATCTCCGTTTCCAGTATCTTTGAGTTTCAAAAATAATGCAGGTGGTATATTTCAGCTGTGTCACACTGTAACCGGCTAATATCAAAATGTACAATAAAGAAATATATTATGCAGTTAACTTTTCGCATGGACTGATCCTTGAATTAAACAGTGTTCTCAAAAAAACTTATCATTTAAGTCGCATGAGCAATAGTTACATTATTGAGGTCAATTCAATTTCAGAATGTATTGAAGATTGTTCCCTTCATGAATATCTCGAGATTACTAATTATACTGCGCCCACCAGTAATTAGAGTAATAAAAAAATATCAAAAAATGGAATGGAAGTAATCAGTCGTTTTTTTTTGCCGTCAGATCATTTTTCAAACATTATTGTTTTGGCACCAATTTTGTTGTGAAGAAATTATATTTGTGCAAATGACATTATTTCAGAAGCATTATTTCTATGAGGTATGGTGCAATTTGCTCCGCATCAGATAATTTTTTTTTAAATTCATGGATGGTGCATCATTTTCGAAAAATAGTGATTTTCTGGTGATGTATATTCATTTTCATAGGAACTTGAGCTTGAATTAGACTTTACAAGAATGAGTATATATGATTCCAAATAACTAATTGAAAAAATAAAATAGAAATGAGTAAATTTGGTCAGATCAAAGCTTACTCTGAAATTATATTTGGAGTATTTATAATTTGACATTTATTCTTTACGAGATTTCGTATCATTATTGGTAATACGAATTTACTATTTAAATCACCATGATCATTATTAGTCAAGTCTCAAGTCAACAATTACGGGGACATTCCTACCTATCCCACAGTTCTCTAGATACATTTTAAATCTTTTTCATTGGCCATATTCCACTTGAAAAAGATGAGGCCATGGTGAGGCATTTTGTGTTATTGTGATGCCAGCAACAACTGTCAAATTCAGTGTCACCCGTCTTTTGTCAATTTTAATTATAGTCAGTTCGAGAGACGAAAGGTCTAATAAGAAGTAGTTTTCGTTTATATTTTCATCAATCCGCCAATCTTTAATCTGACATATCTGACAGTTCTGTAGCTAACCTCACATAACAAAATGCCTCACCCTTGTGAATCAATGGGGGAGTTCAGACCAAGACATCAACATAGTCAACTCATGAAAAACTCTTAATCTTTTTTCTTTGAACTGTTGCACTTACTAGTAATGTTATGCAGTAGTTATTATGAATGTAGCATCCATTTATTCAAGTACTTTTGTTGTTATGCTCGAGAAGAGCATAGAAAGGCATAATCTGCCAGTTTTTGTTACTTTAACCGTTAGTTAAGGTTAGATTAAATAAGTACCTAACTTAGAAACTGACCGAATAACTTGTTTTCTGTTAAAAATGTTCATACTGGTTCCTTCATTCAACGAACTTGTTTATATTGGAACATAAACAAACCTTCAGAACTTCAAAAACAAGATAGAAATGAGATGACAGTCAAACACAGAACCATAAAATTCAGAAATTCAGACCCCTGATGACTCATGTATTGTGTGTACCTCAGTACACTCCTACTGTGGAAGTGAATCCTTATTCTTGTGTGGAATTTGGATATATTCTCATTGGTTGTTAAGAAGCTAGCACTTTTGAGAGGTGATTATTTTCAGAATTGAAAACAAATATTTGTGATGTATTTAAATGATAAATGACTATATTGTAAACTATCAATATAGGGAATGACCAATATGAAATAGATATGTGACATGAATTGGACTAGTGTGGAAAACCCCATTCTTGACAATGACTTCCACGTCAATTGTCAACCTAATGACAAATGATGACACAGTAGGGTGTTCACAGATCCAGTAGTCACACCTAGGGTCCCTTGATGGAAATTGACGTCTACTCTCACTTCAAAGTGTTTGTGAAACAGTTATATAGTTCCATCGTTATTTAATTCTGGGGATAAGCACTATATTTTTGACATTCGTTGTTTATTAGTTTATATTGAGGTCACTGGCGTATCATACGTAATTTTCATATGGAATTCCTGATTCAACTATACCTATATAGATGAACAATCCTCTAGTTTTAAAGTTCACTACTCTAGCATAATCTTTGTGAGGTAGGGAACATATTGATTGTACTGAATGCTTAATATATTTCACCAAAAGAGATTGTTCTTAGACTGTATACCAGAGTTGACTGAATTGACTAAATGAATTCTGATTTCAAGATTCAAGCTGAGCAGAAGTTCATCTATGAGCTGAATGAGCTGAGCCTTATGATTGAGAAATGGTGGAAACCTCAATGTGGGTATCTGAACTACTGTACTCATGTCATGTGTGCTAAATATATTTTCGGAATTCCAATTCGGAGAAGAATTTATGGAGTGACTAATATCACACTATGTATAAAACTTCGTCTGGGACGAAAAGTAGGCTGATGAAAAGTAATACGTGAAATGTGCAGGAAAATAAAGAATAGAATATACTTTACCCCCATGTTATACATATGATTTTTCCGTCTCCCTTAAATAAAAAGTCATTTTCGAATAATTTATTGATGAAAGTAACAAAGAAGTTGGTATACGCAGTATAAATAGGAACGTTATTTTTACTCTTGCATCCTACATATTTTCTATTTGTGGTAGAGTAATAATTATATGAACTAATGTCTTTCGCCATATTGGATCCGTCATCTTGGATTTTCAAATTTTGACCAAACAATCATTATCTCCTACCCCAAAAACCCCCAGATTCCAATTTTGAATAGAATCGGATCTTCATTACGAAACTCGTCCACCATATTGGATCCGCCATCTTAAATTTCCCAATTTTGACAAAAACTCATGAACGTTGACCCCGAAAACCCTCATCTGGTATCTACCAATCTTAAATAGAATCAGAACATAATTAGAAATTTCTTTCGCTATATATTGGATCCGTCATCTTGAATTTTCCGGAGTTTGACGAAACAATCATTATATCCAACCCCGGAATACCCCAGATAACTTTCAATTTTAAATAGAATCGGATCATAATTACAAAACTCGTTCGTCATATGATCTTCCTCAACAAGCAAATACCCTGTACATACCTATTAATGAAATTTTGAATGATTTTCTGTAGCGCCCATGGATGTGACATGACAGCAATGTCAGGGATGCCAGTAGACAAAACGAAAGTCTCTAGATCATTAAAAAAGAATGCAGCTATGATCTGTCCGTACCCTGTCAATTTCCATCAAGGGACCCTAGTCACACCTACCGACACCATTGATGTTTGTTACCCCATTTTGTTTACTGCGCAACCATAATTTCATGCCACGCGCACCAAGAAACAAAATATTCAACAATTAGACATGAAACTCTATACTTCGGTACCTTGGATATTACATATCAGAATCCGTCTTTTGGCCCCTTTAAGTCAAAGATTATTTAGTTGATGAAATGAAAATAATGAACATCTAACCTAACATCAGCTGCACATTTGGAAGGCGCAAATTCATTACTGCATGAGAGATACCCTTCAGTTTTTAGCTATTCAGTTACTTGGTCAGGAATGACATTGACGTTTTAGTCTTCTGCGCAACCAGAATTCAGATGCCACGAGTCGCGCCTGTTGCCAGATTTAATATGGATTCAAAATTTTAGTGGAAAAACAACAGGTTCTTAGAGGATTGAACTGTAACGATGAACTGACTATATATTCAATCAATATAGCACATTATTCTCAGGATATACAGAACGTCATGAATGGATTCTGTTGGCATCTTTTGGACGAGTCGCCTGTTGCCATATTCAATATGGATTCAAACTTTTAGTGGAAATACATAACTGGTTCTTAGAGGATTGAACTGTAACAATGAACTGACGACATATTCAATCATTATGGCACATTATTCTCAGGAAATACAAAACTTCATGAATGGATTATGTTGGCATCTTTTGGACTAAACTCCTCCATTGAATATACTCGAAATTTAAAAAAATCAAGTGTCTGAAGCAAATAAAAAACCCAATTCGACCGTAAGCATCAAATTGACTATCTGCTTCATACACACTTCATCATATGTCCGTACCTATGGATGTAAAAATGACATATCAGCAATTTCTTTTTTACGTCCATGTCAGTACCAGTCCCATCGAGAGACCCTCGAAATACAATCAAACGATAGATAAACGACGATCCGATTTGTTTTTTGTCTGCCTGCATATCCCAAAGGCGATGGAAGAAGAATTAGAGCTCGGTGACAGCGTACAACTGTCGCTCGCTCTCGCTGTTCGCGTACATAACCTCACCTTGCGCCTGGTCCTGAATCTTCGCCGACCGGAACTGGACGGGCTGAGCAGCGGCGCCCCTTTGCAGAGACCTGTCAATCAATCGATCAATCAATCATTCAATCATAGAATCTTACAGTGTTTTCTTGGAAGTCCACATCTTATTTGAGTTTTCAATTACTTATCCGAAGCAAATAAGTTTATAGCCACTTAGAATGACCGTTAAAACAATTCAAAACAGTAACATTTTGTTGAAGCTGAATATGAATGAATAGAGTCCTTTTATTGAATTAATTATTCTCAATGGGTATTCGGAAGAATTCATAATTGCTCCAAAAATTATTTAACAAACAGATGTAAAAACTTCACAAACGATAAGATTTCCACAAAATTCTCAAACACACGACATGTTTCACTAACACAGTAGCTTCATCAAGTGATATACTGGAAATTATGATGCACAATATGTACAGGGTGGCCAACTATGACTCCAGAGTTCGATTTCTCTGTTGTCTTGAGACATACAAAAACAAGGTCATGTATCAAAATTGAAGTAATAACCGAGCTTCACATTTCAAAATTTCTTTGAAATACACAGGGTGTTCCGTAAGCACATCAAAGCTATGTTTTTTTCATTGAAACACCCTATATTTTATTTCATTTTTGAATTGATACAAGGTGGTCAAAGAATCTAAATTTATAATTTGTTCCAATTAAATGTCAATTGAACACCAATTGATAGTGAGTGAGAAGTTGGGATAGGGACATGTAAACCGTTTTGACGAATAATGAACAGTTTCGACAGAAAAAAATCCTGAACTTGATAAATCTCGATTTTGCAAACCCTATATGTTAGTAACTTTCACTGCTAGACCCTAAGTATGATACGTCGTTGAAATCTGATCTTCAGGGAGAATTTAAAAATGAAATAAAATATAGGGTGTTCCAATGAAAAAATCATAGCTTTGATGTGCTGTGACCTTACGGAACACCCTGTATATTTCAAAGAAATTTTGAAAAGTGAAGCTCGGTTATCACTTTAATTTGAATGCAAAACTTTTTTTTGTTTCTCTCAAGACCTGTTGTCTTGGTATCGAACTCTGGATTCTTAGTTGGCCACCCTGTACATTAAAATATGGTGTACTGGATCAACTTGAAAGGTTTGATGGCAAATACATATTATTGCCTACTAAGAAAACAAATTCAACAGTGGTGAACTATTGAAGTCTAGTTGATCGTAAATAAAATGTTAGAATATTTGAGTTTGTTGATTTTCAATGATTCAAAATGATTGAGTTTTATTCTTTCATTTTCTACGTGTATAATTTCGAAATTATCATCAAAACTATGGTTTTCTTTCAATATATGGTTGCGTATGTTGAATTTGTTTCCTTTTTCAAAAAATTCATCTCATGTTCCTGAATGCGCTGATTGAACGTACCACCTGTCTGACCGATATATACCCCAGGACAAGATCCATAGTTGAGTTTGTATACCCCTGATTTCTCGAATTTGGAAGTTTTGTCTTTATTATTTTTGATTTACCTTCCTAACGTGTTATTTGTTCTATATGTTACTTTTAAGTCCTGTTTATGTTGAAATGAAGCCAATTTTTCAGTTGTAATTTTGATCATCATTTTTGATGGTAACTAATCCTTCAGGTTGGGAAAGTAGGATAAATGAAAGTTAGGCAATCCAAGGTTACTTTAGTTCATTGTACCAGTATATCACCTGATGAAGCTACTGTGTTAGCGAAACATGTCATGTGTTTGAGAATTTTGTGGAAATCAAGTAACGGCCGAGTCAATACAAAAAACAATAAAAGGAAACAATATGTTAACGTGAATAGTACTTGTAGTTTCTTAATGAATATTACATGTGGTGTACCGGAAGGAACAATTTTGGGAACAGTTTCATTTTTGATACACATTACTTCAATATCAACTTTGGGATTTAAAGGGAAACTGAATTAGTAACTCGCAAATGACACAATATTAATCTATTCGAAATATCTTAATGACATCATAATAGATATGAAAAGAGATTTGAAACAAAAACATCAGAGATTTTTCACAACCGCAACTCCACTCACAGCGAGGTGAAAGAGTAAATGTAAAAACTTTGTAAACGATGAGATTTCCACAAAATAAAGGAATAAAACTCAATCACTTTGAATCATCAGAAATCAACAAATTCAAAAATTCTAATATTTTATTTAACGATCAACTAGACCTCAATAGTTCACCACTGTTGAATTTGTTTTCTCAGTAGGTAATAATATGTATTTGCTATCAACCCTTTCAAGTTGATATGTTGCACAGTATTTTGATGTAGATATTGTGCCTATTTTCCGAACGTGAAGGTCTATCGAACCTTTCCACAAGTAATTCTAATCCTTCAGGTTGGGAAAGTAGGATATATATAAGTTTAGGCAAGCCAAGGTAAGTTAAGGTTTGGGTCCCTAGTTAATGTAGTTAATGTTGACGTCATATGACCCCACCTTCACCTAAATACTCTAACCGGGTTCAACGGGGAATGTGAATGAAATATCCCTGAGGTGGACAATAAATAATGTTAGTCCTGATTCGCTATGAATATACAAAGAACTCTAGTGCCAACATGTGAGACTGGAAATATTAGCCCTCATTCATAGAAACAAGGAGAAAAAAATCCCAAAAACCTAGGGTCCCTTGTTGTAAATTGACGTATTTGTCATCTTAACAGGGTACGGACAGATCCTCGTCACTCTGAAGTGTTTGTGAAACAGTTATATAGTTCCATCTTCATTCATTTCTGGGGATAAACAATAGATTTCTGACATTTGTTGTTTTTTAGGTTATATTGAGGACATTGGCGTATCATACGTAATTTCCGCATGTAATTTCTCATTCAACTCTACATATTATATTCAAATGATGATGATAATTTTCGAGTTTTAGATTTTTCAACTCCAGCATAATCTTTGAGCCAGTGAGCAAATTTTTCTGAAAGTTTAATACATTTTAGCAAATGGGACTTTTCATAGGCAGTACCTATCAATAAATGAATTCTGATTTCAGACTAAGCCTTATAGTTGAGAAATGGTGAAACATTTTATGTAGGTATTTAAACTAATGTGCTCATATGTCATGTGTGCTGTATATGTTCATGTTGGGAATCATTTTTGCAGTTTTTCACTAACACTTTCAATATTTCCTGAATGTAGGTATAATTTTTTTAATGGTAGGGCATGTGCCTCTTCTTTCAATCCTCCGTTTTAATCAAAACTGTTTCTACTAAAATGCATTCAAAAGCTTTTGGAGTGGGTAAAGTATAGGCACAATGAGAAAGTATAATGTGATTTCGTATTAGTTTTACCTCGAATATTTTGCTGATGTATTTACCAATTTTCGCCATTCGGTCACTTCACTTTTCATGTTCTAAGTTCATTTCTATTTGATGGAAAGCTGACAAATTCAAACTTGCCATTTAAATGATTGATTCAGCCTAACGCAGCACATTTTACCATCCTTCCAAAACAGAATTGAATAATGTCGTATTAAGATCAAATATGAAATTAAAATTTCTTAAGATTTCTTTTAACGCCTATGAATGTGACGTGACAGTAATGTCATGTCAGGGACGCCAATACACGAAACCAGTCACTAGATGATTAAAAGAGAAAGGAGCTATGATCTGTCCGTACCCTGTTAGGGAGTTAAAGCAATGCAGAATGCGTAAGCGTAAACGTAGAATTTGACATCCAAGCATGCGCATTATGCGCATTTCCTACGCCAGGAGATACGTCTGACGTATGTTTACGTCTTGCTACGCTGCGCTAAACGCAAATCGTATTGAACCGAAGGCGTTACCTATCTAAGCGAATACAAACGATAACTATTCGGTTTTTACTTTAACCTCACATTTATCACATGAAATAACATGTATTTGTTATTGCGCTTTATTCTTGTGTTGTGCTTCGAAGAAATCATGGACAATTCAAAGAAAAGAATTCTCTTTTCCTTGGAAGATGATTCTCATCTAGCAAGGGAAGTTGTAGGCAATCCTTACGAAGACACGGGCCGTTGGAACCTCATCCAAATGAATATAATGTAAATTACTGGAAAACTTTAGCTTCCTGGTATTCCTAAGGCTCTAGCTAATGTTGGAATGTCATTTTTCGAAAATCGAAATAGATTTTTACATTCTATTTCAAATAAATTGTTTAAATTGACATCTCTATATAATTCCCTTCGATTACCTAAATTGTCGTTCTCATTCAGTACATGAATGATGAACATCTAGCATTGCTATCATTTGTAGCTTAGAATATAAAAAAACTCTTCCATTTTGCAACGAAGGGATTGCAGCACCAACACTCTGGAACAATATCTAAGCAAGCGAAGACTAACAAATCAAAATAATCGAATGGAAAAGAAAAATAGGGTTAAAATGAGTCTGGTCTTGTATCTTGTATGTATGTAAAACATGTACGTACCATACGGTAGCTTTAACGCTACTTTTCATTGAATACGTCCATACGTAATTACAAGTTTTTGTATTGGCTTCAACCCCCTAATACGTCAGTTTGCATCAAGAGACACTACAAAAACCCATAGAACGAAGAGTAATGAAAAACTACCTGAACTGGACGCTCGCTCGCCCTCCACAGCCCCCTCCGACCACTCCACCCCCCTCCTGCCAGGCGCCGCGCTGCAGCGACCGGAAGTTGGCCGGGTTGAGAGGCGTCTCGACGCTGACGTCGCCGCCGCCAGAGGGCACCTTGGGCGCCGCCGGCTGCTTCCTCGCCCGCTCGTCAGGCGTCTGCGGCAGCGGTCGGCGTCCCAGCGAGCTGTACTTCTGGATGTTGGCGGTGCGTTGGGAGTGGGGGTGGTGTTGGTGCTGGTGGCGGTGGTCGAACTTGAAGCCTTTGAAGTTTGGGAATTCCTTGCAGGCAGACCTGGAACGATACGGAGAATGCGGGATGACTAAATAAAACTCGAAATCATCTTTATTTAGTTATTACAACTACACTCCACTTTGAGAAATGTTGGACTTCTACCAGAGATTAGAATGGGGGATGTTTGGAATTTGGATGAAGAAGAAAGTTTACTACTACTGGTTGCCCGACTGGCTTTTTCCCTAGTTGAAAACACGCCAGTCGGGCAACCAGCCACTCCCATTTCACCTGAAATGGGATTTTGTTTTGGAATGTTCCTTTCCTTGCCAGGTGGCGTGCGGCGTTCGCGTTTTCATTTCGCAGACGTCGAACGCCTCGTATGGTATAAATGCTGAGATGCGTTTACGTTGGGTCAGGTTCGCACCAGATAGCGGTCAAAAAGCTATCTGGGACAGCCCTGTACTGATGAGAGCCAAGAGCTCGAAACCGGTCTGCAGGTAGTCAGCGTTCCTGAACCACTTAAGCGCAGCTCAGCGTTTAGGAAGGAAACACTTGCGATTTTATTCGTTTATACGTACTATCGCATAGGTTTCGGGAGGATGTAATGCAATGTTCTGCGTGGCATATAGCCAAGAAAATAGTTGTTTTCCTCTCGTTATCAACCATTGTCGTTCATTTTATGAACTAGTTGTGGTAATGACTTTGAGTTTCTCTCTTTCTATACTATTTTTCCTACCAGTCGTAAATTAGAAGTGTTGACGTATACGTCTCAATGATTTATGAATAAATCGCGGTGTCTATCTATTTGTATTTAGTCTCAGCACTTACCAGCAAATGTACAAATGTCTGTTATTATTCCCACCATTCACGATTTCATTCATCTATCCCTATTCACCGTCCAGGATTGTTGGCGTATCTTTTCGATGATTTATGAATGAATTGCGGTATCAATCTATTGTTATTTAGTCAAAGCATTCATACGCAGATGTACAGTGTGTCCAGTTTTCGATGCTTTTGCGTGATATTTCAGTTATCTTCGATGATAGAACCTTGCGGTTTTCGCGAACCTGTGGCACTTTTTTGTGAAACTCAAGATGGCCTAATCAGATTTATTATCCCCACTATTAGCTATTTATTTATTTGTTAATTTAATTATTCATTTGTTTATTTATTCATTGATAAAATAACTTCCAGAAAAAATAGGCTCTGGTATAAGGAAGTACATAATTTTATACCTATCGATAAACATTTCATCATTCAAAATATATCAACAACTATAAATTGGCAAACAAAGGATAATATTTATAGAAAAAACACAGTAAAATAACATAATTAATTTTATCCAGTTCGCTCAGTAATAATGTCACGACCAGGGGGGCCTTCCTCCCCGGCTGCGTGATCTTAGGGGGTTATGCTTGGCAGCAAGAGGGTGTCCTAACTACCACACTCTTGTAACTCGATTGTGGCAAGGAAAGAGTGCATGTTTTGTTTAACATAAATTTAAGTTTTATTGAACGATAAAAAAAACAGTGAACAAGTGAGCAACATCAAAAGGTTAAGTGAGACAAAAAAAGTTAAGTGAAGTGACTAAATTAAAGTGACCCTATAGCTACACCTTCTAGTGAAATCCTACATCTCTGGATCTAACTACCAACGTGGTTGGAGACAATTACAGGGGCTGTACAAGGTAATGAAACAGTTTTTTTGAAAAAAAAGTACTCACATTGTCCATACAATAATCGCTGCTCCGGCAGGGGAAGAGATGTGTGTCATGGCGTTGTCTACTCACTCACTAGTCGTACCGACTCTGATTCTCTGATTGTTCGATTGACCCGGAAAATCTATACTTCAATTGTTTTATAGGCGATACTTGCCGAGTTAGCAGAATCAGCAGTAATCGTACCTATCGAGTTCATTACCTCATAGGTGAACTTTCAAGTCCGATGAATTCTGCCGGAAAAGCTTACTAGGTTCCTGTCTGTGAAATCTGAACCGGGTTTGAATTACATACGTTATGTGAATGACTTTGGATATTATCTACTGAGGACTTTGATTTTCTTATGGATATTTCTTAATAAATTTATTGAATGGTTCCTTTGGTATACCAGGTGTGACACGTCTCCTCCCCTCCGAAGAAGCTGCCCCAGCTTCTAATAATGAATTGCCTGACTGCCTATTTATATGTGAAAAACAAAACAAAAAGAATATAAATATACAAGTATATAAAAATAGAACAGAAAAATCATACAAAATTGAATTATAGAAGAATAAAGTTCAGTTGATTGACGCAAAAAAAAAAAAAAAAAAAAAATCATATATAAAATTCTGAATCAGTTGACGATAATTATTGAAACGAAAAACAACAAAAAAAAAATAATAATAATCAGAGAAAATATAACTTTATGCTAATGTTCCACAAAACCAGTTTCTATACTGAGCACTTATCAGTTCCGCACTGAGTCCGGCACTGTCCAATTTTCATATCTTCTATCCCATGGCAGGTCGGTAGGTTAAACGGACCTACGCATTGTCCGCTTCGGCGCTACCATCGACATCAGAACCACGGAACGTTTCGTGCTGCCTGTGAAGGTTACGTTGCTGGTCACGGCTAAGTCACGGCCCATGGCTATCCGTGCGTCGGTGAGGGAAGCGGTCGGAATTCTCGACCGTCTCTTGCTGCAGCTGGCGCTGCTTATTCCCCAGCTGCCTGGTCGACTTTTCTATTGAGTGTTCTGAGGAGTCTGTGCTCTGTTCGGGATTATGACTTGACAAATTCGACAAAAAAATATTTTCTCTCCTCTTCCGGATCCGAAGATACCGACAGACTGACACAACAAAATCCATTTTTGTGGTCTCGCCCGGTTGCTCATCGCATCTGTCATTCCTTATGTTCCGTGTTCTGTGACACAGCCAAACATAACCACAGATTATCTCGTACCTCAAGATCTGTTGCTTTCGTTGAGAGAAAAACATCTGCATCGACAGATTTTTTCTTGCAGAATCTTGCATCTCTGAATCAGCATCTTTCGGTTTTATCTCGGTCCGCAAAACAACGCCCTAACGCCAGATTCCGTTTGCGTGTTCGGTACGATTTTTCGGTTTGTTTGAATCTATTTCTGATTCCTGGTGGATTTTGAGAGTACCTAGTTGCTTATTTCGGTTAGTGATTCCATAATATGACAGTGATGATGAACACTAGTGCATTCGTGGGATTATAACTGGTCTGCTACTACATCTCAGGATATTCTGCTTGGTAAGCGCATTTCTTCCTCCATGATGGCTTCTTTTAAAAAAGTGTCCTTTTGTTTCTCCTAGGTTTGGATATTCAGGACTTTCTCTGGCTGACTTTGTGCTGCAGACGTCTGGCTAGATCATAGTTGACTTTTTGGCCCCCCTTGCCTTCTGGTACCCCTCTGTAGGATGGTTTGGGAGCTGATACATTGTTGTAAGTTTATATTCATCACGTTTTCAATTCATTTATTGTTCTCTCCTGTGCCTATGTTTCCTTAATCTCACATTTCATGTCCTTTATTTGTAGGTTTCCCAGTATGTCGCAGTCATCATCCTTCAGAGCTTTCAGCCTCCTGTGTCGAACAACTCAATAGGTGGTGCTACTGGATGGATGGTGTTTATTGGACAGGGCTGCTCGTGCTTCGGTCTGACGTGCGGTTTGTGGCTCACATGGAACAAGAGAAAAATTTACAGCAGTAAGTGTACTTTCATTTTTATATAAACAATACCCATTTTTGACTATACTACATACCCATATTGAACCTACATTTACATTTTTCTTTACAAAATACCTTCCCATAGTGACATACCTAAATAAATTTTACCTATAGTTCTTCATATGACCACCTAGTACCTGAATTACTGCCCTGATATTTTTTGATATTTGAGAACTGTCCCTACTCTCTATTATTGTGATATGTTTTCTATCTTATTTATTTATGTTTCAATAATTCTCCAAAATCTAAAGGTTTCTCCCACTAACTCATCTTCAACTCTTCATCTTTTGACATTTCTTCCATTATATTATTCTATCTGTCTAACTGGTAAATATATGCTTAGATCACTTTCTGATATCCTCTGCCTATGATTATCATTATGTTGCCATACATTACACATTTATACTCATTTATTCTTTGTTCCTCGTAATTCACTTAACTTAGTTGAGCACACTCAACTCTGCACTGTTACAGCTTCTTTTCCGAAGCATTCCCAAAATAATGAATCTGAAATTGTTTATACAACTTCCTCAAATTATTTTATCCTTATGCCTCTCTAATAAAGGGTTTGTGTTCACTGAATTAATTCAGCTTCTTCCACACTTTCCTCATAAAGGCTACCTTGTGTGTGACATCTTATCTGCGTCACTTCTATTTGCTTTTCCATAATTATTATCATATCATAGGCTCAACACAAAAAAAAATCATCCTTAAACATATATCATTTAGGTAATAATCATATCATAGGATCTACATAAAAAAAATCATCTTCAGCATATATCATTCAAATAATAATCATATCATAGGCTCTACAAAAAAAAATCATCTTCAGCATATATCATTCAAATAATAATCATATCATAGGCTCTACAAAAAAAAAATCATCTTCAGCATATATCATTCAAATAATAATCATATCATAGGCTCTACAAAAAAAAATCATCTTCAGCATATATCATTCAAATAATAATCATAATCGTAATACACAAAAATCTATCTGTCTTTATTGAGGTCAAATAAAAAATGATAATCATAAAAAAATATAGAATATGTCTTTCCTACAGAATTTTCCTAAATAAGTGAAGGGTTGAAGATTACATACTGTCTAGATTCCGGGATAAAATATTTTATCAAGTTAGGGTTTCTGCAAAAAAAATAGGAACACTGAACAGGAGAATGAAAATTGAAATATTTTCAAGATTCTTCCTCAGAATCTGCATATCTATGTAGGGTGCAACTTAAACTGTTTGTATTTGTTAGGTTAGATAATTCAATACCATCCATTTCTAGGATGAATTTATCATTCGATTGTGTGTTTTTTCTTTTTTCTGG